TTGTAATCACGCTTTAAAAATATACATCACCTTTTTTGACTCACAGGAGAAATTCAAAAGCTCTCTGCAGTAGGCCTATTATTGGTCTATCGCCACTACAGACCAGATCTGAGACAGACAGACGCAAGGCCAAGACAGGTTCAGATAGACGCAAGGCCAACACATCTCTCCCTCTTTCTTGTATCCAGCTGGAAAGGAAAGTGAGGACTCTCTAGGTCAGAGGGGGGTTGCTTTTTAAAAAAAAATTAGGTGCAATGCTGATGTCATCTGCCACCTTCCCCAAGCTTCCATGACCCGCTGAGCTTTGCTACAACACTCACAGTAATTATGAGAAGGGAGGATTTTCCCAACAATGACATATCATTATATTATTGAGAGTAATGAGAGTAGTTTGGTTTTCCATGTGCAACTGAGATTCATTAGCTATACAAAATACCTGTTCTTGGTAAAAATGAGAACTACTGGAACTGGCTTATTGATGCGGATCAATGCAACGACTTCTTTCTCCTTGGGCGTGTGGTTACCAAGACAATCATGATAAACACTTGCCCTTCAATATATCATTATACCCCATGCTTCTTACTCCCCCCCCCCTTGGCCCCCTTATCACTGTGCCTTCTTCTACATATCTCTAGCCACCCTTGAAGTGAGCCAAAGGTTGCTTTTAAGCAACCGGGTTCCAAGGCAGCTCTACTTCAGATCTTCTGTAGTGACACACACGGGCCGGCCTGCCCATCTCTGAGAATGTCGGTTGTGCCCCTTTTGAGCCAGCCCAGACAAACGTGTCCCTTTTCTCTCCCTCGGTCCCTCGCCTTCCCCTGGGCTGCCTGAGCAAAGAGGCTCCCCGCAGCAGCAGCAGCAGCCGCCTGCCCGGCCCGGCCGTTCTCTAACTCGGTCCCAGAACAGAGCAGAAAGGGAGGCCGCTTACCCGCGAGGGACCCTTGGGGCAACAAGACGCGAAGCGCGCGCACCCGCTTCCAGCCAGCGAGCCCCGCGTTGCGACTCATCCTAACAGCGGAGTATCCCCACTCGAAGCCCGGCGCCGACCCGCGCCACTTGACTTCGACTTCCTCGTGAACCTGGCGAAGCCAATCGCCGGAGGCAAAGAGTGCCTCATTAACATAGCCCCGCCCACAACAGGCGGCGGGTCCCGGTCTTTGCTCCGCCCCACGGCCCGCGAAAAGCCAATCAACGCCGAGTTATTTAGCATAAACCGGGCCCACTCCGGAAACGAGGCCATCAGGAGCGGATGAGAAGCACGGGATAGAACGCGTCTCAGTTGGTGTAGTCGGGCGTGCTTCTGAACTCTATGGTCTTTCCTCCCTCAAATGCTAGGGCGGGCAAAATTGGTCTTCCATTGACTTGAACGAAAAGGATCGACGTGTGTGCCAGGTCTAAAGCTTAGCAAGTACCATGTGGTTGTCCAGGCACGGCAAGGAGGCTTCCCCTACCTTCCTAGTCTTAATAAGTACAGTGGGGTCTTGACTTAAGAACGGCTTGAGTTAAGAACATTTTGACTTAAGAACCGCTCTCATAGGAAAATATTGACTTGACTTAAGTACTTAGATTTGAGTTAAGAACTGAAAAACCCCACGTGGGAGGCAGGGAAAGTGCAAAATGTGAACTTTCAGTTAACTGTTGGCCAGTGAAAAGGGTGCCTGTCTGCTTCCTGACTCCTCCCAGCGTTTAGAGAGTGGATTGGGAGACAGTCTTCGGACTGCCTGGTACTGTCCTGCCTGGACTGTATTTTCCCTGCCTTCCCTGAACCTTTCTTGACCTAAGAAAAAAAAGAAACAAAATATCCCCCTCTAGTGGTCGAAGGCAGAATAGCAGCTTCCCATTAGTTTCTATGGACGGAAAAGAGCAGATACGGATCAAATGGTTTTCAATGCATTCCTATGGGCGACGTGTGTGCCAGGTCTAAAGCTTAGCAAGTACAATGTGGTTGTCCAGGCACAGCAAGGAGGCTTCCCCTACTTTCCTAGTCTTAATAAGTACGCGAAACGTATACGTTTCGACCGGATGTATCTCCGTTAATTTATTATCCCCGCCTGCTCTGGTTGCTCTGCATGATTGGTAGCTCGATGGGTATGCCATCTCTCGTGCACATAACATTAGTACTGTAATAATAGTTTGTCCGTTTTCGAAATTTTCCCACCATTCAGGGGGAAAAGACGTGAGGAAGGTCTCTCGTGTGAAATGCTAAGAAATTAAGCCTTTATATTGTGTTTTTGTAGCAATGGAAAGCAAATGCTGTTTGTAGAAATTGCATGCCAAATGCAATTTCAACCAGCATATGTGGCTGAAGAAACAATGTTATAGGCTCTTAAAATAATGTAACTTGCATTGTTGCAAAGAAGAAGGTTTAAATGCCTTTTAAAAATGTTCCAAAGGAGGAACACATAGCTCTTTTTTACCTTGAAGTACCCTAGCCTCTGTGCTGCAAGGTCAGAAGATCTGCAGTCGTAAGATCAAATCCACACAATGAAGTGAGCCCCCCCCCGTCGCATGCGAGTAGATAAATAGGTACCACCTCGATGGGAAGGTAACGGCATTCCGTGTCTAGTTGCGCTGGCCACGTGACCACATAGGATTGTCTGCTGACAAAACACTAGTTCTATGGCTTGGAAACGGAGATGAGCACTGCCGCTTAGAGTTGGACACGACTGGACAAATTATCAAGGGGAACCTTTACCTTTTTACCCTCTGGGGTACTTTGAGAGGACACAAGCAAACGACTTCAGTGTACCCCACACCAAATGGGGATTTGAACCCTGCCACCCTCTGCTGATTTTTCATATACGTACGTATAAACATTGAGGGCTCCTTTAGTCTTTTATCTAGAATGCTGGGAGATAGTGTTTGCATAGAGCTGCCAGGGCCTGAGAGAGTATATCTGTGCTATCCAGTTACAGCAGTTCCTTAGCACTTCAATCGCCACAGCTGACAGGGTAAGTCTCAGGAGACCTGGGTTCAAATCGTTGCTTGGCCATGGAAACATGTTGGTGTTTGAGAATACAGTAGAACTGGTAAAACCACTCCTTAAATATTTCACTTACCTTGAAAACCCTGTTAGAGTTGATACATACCAAAACATTAGTACAAATTTGATACATAGGGGATGTTTAGGGTTTTATGTGTTCAAAACAAAGCCTGGAACATAACTCAATAACAAACTGTAGCCTGTATGATCCTTTTAGTAACTGCTTAAATAATCTTACTCCACTTGGATTTTGAAGTAATGAGAGCTTTCAAAACCAAGGGCTATCAGTAACAAACTGTAGCCTGTATGATCTTTTTAGTAACTACTTAAATAATCTTATTCCACTTGGATTTTGAAGTAACGAGGACTTTCAAAACCAAGGGCTGCATGGACAATGGAGGTGCTGTAAATGTAGTAGAGGCCATGAGCACTAGGTGAATGAACAGTATTCTGCTTATCTAAATCGTACAGTTTTTTAAGCCGAACAAATTGTCAGAAAAGATCGGTTTTTGAAAAGGCAGCACCTTTGTTGGGATTTTCCCCTAGAAATGAGTGAATGACCAAATGCAAGAAAACAGCAACATTTCCAGAAGTAACTACAGGGCAGAGGAGGCAAACTATAGGAGGTCTATAAGTGTCCTGGCTGCAGTAAGGGTAGAGTATATAGAGCTGCCCATTGCTGTTGAACTACAACTCCCATCAGCTCCCAGTTGGGCTCATGCACCTTTGTTGGGATTTTCCCCTAGAAATGAGTGAATGACCAAATGCAAGAAAACAGCAACATTTCCAGAAGTAACTACAGGGCAGAGGAGGCAAACTATAGGAGGTCTATAAGTGTCCTGGCTGCAGTAAGGGTAGAGTATATAGAGCTGCCCATTGCTGTTGAACTACAACTCCCATCAGCTCCCAGTTGGGCTCATGAGCTGGAGTACTACAACTCCCATCAGCTCCCAGTTGGGCGTGATAGCTGGAGTTTGCAGGCTCACAGACATACAGTTTGCTTCAGCTATAATATGGTTAGTGCTTAGAAATGTGTACCATCTGATTTTTCTGAACTCCTTGTGCTGAAAGTAAATCTCACTGGTGATAGTAGGATGTATTTCAACACTTGCTTAGAATTGTTATTATCTTAAAGTTCTCAGCCTCTGACTCAGAAATGTGTGCGTGCGCTGTACTGTCAAGTCAAAACCGACTTATAGGGTCCCTAATTGGACTTTCAAGATATTTGAGGCAGGGTTTTATCAGTTCCACTCCCCCAAGCTTAGAATTGTTATTATCTTAAAGTTCTCTGACTCAGAAATGTGTGCGTGCACTACTGTCAAGTCAAAACCGACTTACAGGGTCCCTAATTGGACTTTCAAGGTAAGTCAGATATTTGAGGAAGGGTTTTATCAGTTCCACTCCCCCAGTGGGTTTCCATGACCAAGTGGGGATTCAGACCATTTTCTCCAGAGTCCTAAAATGCTGCTTTGTCTACTACAGCAGACTGGGAATCGGACTCAGAAGTCAATCAGCTTATTTCCAGAAATATGTGTACCCTGATCTTATGCATATTTACTTGGAAGGGAGTTTCATTGAGAACGGCGGCTTTGCTCTCAGGTAAGCATTGTACGTGGTGTCAAAAGGGACATGGTGGCGCTGTGGGTTAAACCACAGAAGCCTCTGTGCTGCAAGGTCAGAAGACCTGCAGTCGTACGATCGAATCCACGCAACGTCATGTAAAAATGCGAGTAGATAAATAGGTACCACCTCGGTGGGAAGGTAACGGCATTCCGTGTCTAGTCTCACTGGCCACATGACCACAGAAACTGACTTCGGACAAACGCTGGTTCTGTGACTTGGAGACGGGGATGAGCACCACACCCTAGAGTCGGACACAACTGGACATTTGTCAAGGAGAATCTTTACATTTAAGCATTGTAAAGACTGCCATCACACTCTCACCAGAGAATGTGAATATTCAGGTTGGCATAGCTTTCTGTAATCCTGTCTTAAAATTTAGGCTGTTTATTGTCCACTAGTGCTTTTTTATTTGTCACTTTTGAAAAATTTCTCTAGTCCAAAGATTTCTGCTTCTCTCCCCCCCGCTTGCATCCAGGCCTTCAGAAAACTACTAGACCTTTTAGCTAAAAATATTATTAGACCTTGAAGCTAAAAATATCCATTTCCTCAAAGGTCAGCTAGATAAGCCACTGATAGTAAGATAAAGGAGGGCTAGATAATATATTTGACCAAGACATATCAGATACTTCGTCCTTTCATCCTTTCAGGTTGTCTTTGATCTGTAGAACTGTCAATTTTTAGGACGTCAGCATGAATGATGGAAAGTCTAGCCATCACAAAGGTCCCAGATGCTGTCTTTTCTCTCTTGAATATCTTTTTTAAAAATGGCAAAGAGGTTTATTTAAAGAACAAACTCTTTGGGCGAAATCCAGTTGTACGTCTCAACAAAAGTAGATTCTTTCAATCAATGGGGTTGACATTAGTACTAACTTAGTATTTAGTATTTTCTCTGGCTACTTTTGTTGAGACTGACAGCTGTTTAGGTTGCAGTCCATGGGACAGGTATTGGGGATCCTTCCTCCTCTGCAACCTACCAGCAGCATTCCTTAAAGGCTGCAGCAAAAGGAGAGAGAGGGAGCAGGATGATTCCACTTCTGGTTAGAAATGAGCTCCTTTAGTTTCTCCTGACCCTTAAACTGTTTCCACTTCACCCTCTCATAAGATCAACTACATAACTTGAAGATGTCTGAGTTTGCTGGCTTTTCCTTCTCCCTCTTTCCCCCATCTCCGTTTATGTTGTTTCGGTCAGAATGTAAGCCTCATTTTAATAGATGTTATGTAATCCACTGTGATGACTGTTGGGGCTGAAGAAAGATATGAAAACAATTTAAATAATTAAAAATAGATACTTGGATTTGAGCTACTTTTTCTTCCCATTACTGAACATGTTAAGAAACAGCACGAGTCTTAAAATATTTTTTCTATAATGTACTTTTAATTTCAATATATTATAAATTAACTTTAGATTTTCTTCCCAGTGAGTGTGATATTTGAAACACTCTTGGAAATGTTGTGTGTCAAGAATTTATGACATTTTGATTAC